GTGTTAGCCAGGATGGTCTCGATCTCCTGACCTCGTGATCCTCCTGTCTTGGCCTCCCAAAGTGCTGGGATTACAGGCGTGAGCCACCGCGCCCGGCCTGAGAATTTTTTTAACTTTCAATAAAAGAAGACAAGTATTCATAATTCCTTTACTCATAGAGAGCTGTTATTTCTGATCCAGTGGTCCCCAAACTGAGGGGTGAGTGAGAATTACTCAGGGTGTATAGGTAGACAGAGATCCTTAGGCTCTGCTTTAAAAGACTTAATTCACTAGGTCTGGGGTAATACCCAAGAATCTGCATTTTTAATAAGCCCCCAAGGTGATTCTGAGGTATATGAGTGGCAGACCATATTGGGAGAAAGAAACTGTGTATTCTATGCATTTTTAAAGTTTTGTGTATGTTTAGATATTTTATATGTGCTTCTACCTATGTTTGTATATATGTACATTATACACATGTACACATGTATATTTTTACATGTAGGCTGACCTCAACTGTTTTTCTCATTTAGCATATATGAGCATTTCCCCACGGCATTAAGTGTTCTCTGAAAGCATGAATTTAATGATTTTCTATTATTGCATTCTGTAGATACAGTATCATTTAACCATTTTTTTATTTGGAGGCAGTGAGATTGTTTTCCATTATTATAAATAATACTATCACGAATAGTCTTACGCATAAATCTTTATCTCTGAGTATTTCGTTCCTTAGAATTGATTTATCTGAGGGTGAAAATCTGACTTCTTTTTGGAGGTTCTGCGTAGGAATTGCCCACTGGTTTCCATGCTCTTTTACACTCCTAGCAGCAGTGAATAGGAGTGGCCTGTCTTGGTATTCTATCTGGAGATGATATGGAGTATCATCAGCTCATGACCTTGCTAACTCTTCTTCCCCAAGACATTAGTCCTATGAAGATTATTTTCACCTCCCAGTGCAAATAACTTTGTTATGTCTTGCAAGTAGGACGTATTGTGATTTCCTTGAATACTCTTATGCCAACTTAAAAATTTGGTAGTTTTTACTTTAAGGGTAAAAATCCTTGCTTCAAATATGTCCATGACAGACGTACAGTGAAGGTACTTTTTTACTAACAAAGGTATAAATTTATCATGAAATGTGCTGGTTCTGTCCTTACTGATTGATGGATTTTTCAGGTAATGAATGAGTCAGCATTTTTCTTACATGGGAAGACTAAAAAGGAAGCGCTGGTAATGCTTTGAATGTTCCCTCTTGGCAGGATAAGAATAGAGCGGGGGATGGGCCGGGGGGAGAGGGAGGAACGGGGAGCGGGTAAGATCGCAAAATTCGTTTCTTCCTTAGTAGGAAGTAAACAATGTCTAAAAGTGAAAAATAAATAGTACTCTAAGCATAGTATGTTTTTAAAAAGCAGAAGGAGGGGAGGAGGGACTACTAGATGAATAGTTAAGAGTGGAAGAAGGGATCAGAAGGGTCAAGGGGCGGGGAGGGATGGTCAGGGGACCGCTATTTTTTATTAGCCAAATAATATTAGCACTATTTGATATTTTAAACTATTTGTGTGTATTCATTTACTTCAAAAATTACATTAAAACACACATACAGATAAGATGCTGCTCTGAGTAATCTTATCAACTGTATGTCTCCCCATGGGCACTCCAGGCAGTTAACAGCTGCTCTCAAGCCTTTGTAACATTCCAGTCCCATTCTCCATACTGCAGTCTGAGTCTGTGTGTTTTGTTTTTTTCAAAATGCACATTTGAGTCTCACATTCCCCCTGCTTGAAACTTTTTGGTGGCCATATCTTACCCACCTTCCCAATCTAATCTTCCTCTATACTTCTGCAGCCCCAGCCACGTGGGTCTTCTTTCAGTCCTTTGTCAGGACTTTCTGTTGTCATGAAGCCTTTGTTAGGCCTGCTCCCTCTGCCTGGAATGCTCTTTCTCCTGTCCCCAAGTTAACCCTTACTGGGCCTTCAGATCACAGCCCTATAGTCACAGCCTCATGGAAACCTTCCCTGGCCTCCCCACTAGGTAGCATATTACTCTTTTTTTTTTTTTTTTTTTTTTGAGACGAAGTCTCCCTCTGTTAACAGGCTGGAATGCAATGGCGCAATCTCTGCTCCCTGCAACCTCTGCCTCCCGGGTTCAAGTGATTCTTCTGCCTCAGCCTCCATAGTAGCTGGGACTATAGGTGTGCACTACCACGCCCAGCTAATTTTTGCATTTTTGGTAGAGACGGGGTTTCACCATGTTGGCCAAGATGTTCTTGATCTCCTGACCTTGTGATCTGCCTGCCTCAGCCTCCCAAAGGGCTGGGATTACAGGCGTGAGCCACCACGCCCGGCCGCATATTACTCTTAGAGCACCTGCACCTGACCTTCCTGGTGCTTGGCACTTACTATTTTCATGTTGGTTCTGTGAGCGATGTTTCTCTTTCCCATTAGCATTGTAAGCTTCTCAAGAGCAGAACTGTGTCTTTTGTTTCCCTCTGTGCCTAGCTTGGTGCCTGGAACATATTAGGCACTCGATAAATAGTGTTGACTGGTTCAGTTTTCCCTGTCATCCTGTTATTCAGTTAATATGCAGTGCCTTGTTTTCCTAGGAATTCTTCCTGATCAATATTAAAAACAAACAAAATTTCCATCCCTAGTCTCTGAAATAAAAGTGGGAAGGAGGATAATGGTTGTCTGTGACTGTAGTGGGGTGAATCCTTTTAAGTACTAATTTTAAAGCTTTAGTTTTGTGTCATACGATATGCAGACAGAAACCTGGACCCATGGGAAGGGTTGGAAAAAAGATTTA